TCCAAGGTTACAATTAAGAAGGATTAAAGTTATAAAATACAAAATAGAGAATGAAACATCATATAAATGATTAACAAAGACTAACAAGGTCAGTCAACTATCTGACAATCTTTTTCTATCCTCTTATATTCAATTTTTAAGAATTACTATATGACCTAAAAATTAAGAAAACTACAATTGCATACCATTTTAAGTACTCCCATAAAAGATATGCTGAATACCACTTCAGTAGCTTCTAGCCCACTTATAATCACTTAGCAACCTAATGATCAAAAGATTAATATGCTGTGCACATGTGACTGGATATTATGATTCGATTCCTAAAAATACCAAAAAAGTAGATGTAATTCTAAGAACAAAGGTCCTTCTTTGGTCATTTCCTTTATGAAATACAGTCAGGTCAGTTTTGAGCCAATGTAGGTATTATTCTATCTCTTCACGATTTTTTTCCCCTCTTACTTTGCAACATTTCCCTCTTTCACTCTTTATTAACACTTCCACCTGAGGACAAGTGAGATGTAAGGAAAGGTGCAATTCGAGCTAGTCAGTTTTACTCCTTATTAGCAGCTCTACTGAGAGACAGTGAAAGTGAAGAGAGAGAATAAAAAGGTTAGCTGGGATCAGACGCTGAAACTAAATTCAAAAAGGAAACTCTGAAATTACAAGTTGATTTTAATGATTCATGCCTCTCCTCTGGAAAACAAGGATGTGACTGTAAAACTACCATTTGCTGCATGTGTCTTAAACAATTTAAAAGAACATCAGAATGTCTTAGCCCCCAGTGTTATCCCAGGAAGCCTTCCGAGTCCTTCTACAGACACCTCCCAGGCAGTTGAGTTAAAGAGAGTAGTCACTTGCTGGCCTGGATCTTTGGATATTAACTACCTGGACATCTGAGTATATAGCTGCTTGTGATGAAGGTATTGTATTTGCTTCTATTTTCATTCATTCCCTTCCTCCCTTTGACAATCATCCCATACTTCCAAACCAACATAACCTCAGTAGCTTGAAAGAATAATGAAAGATACAAAACAAAGATGAGAAGAGGAAGAAAAATTAAGACTAATTTCAAATTCAGAAAATGTCCTCAGCTGTGGTGAAGTCCCACAACAGTTAGAATTTTAGACATGCAGACTGAAAATGCAGGTTTTTGAGACCGTGACCATCTTATTCTCCACACCAATAACCACATGGTCAGCAATCAGTGGCCTCTACATGGCTCACTGTCTTGTTCTGTAGAGATCAGTGTTTAAAATTCAAATTTTCAGGCTCTCTTTGAAAACTAGGCAACATCATGGTCACATGACAGCAATTAGCTGGGACATGAGAACTTCTATTTGCCAGAGTCCCACTGAAGCTCAGTCCTCTCAGCCTGGCCCCCAAATGCAGGTCGATCTGCCACCCCGCCATATGATGAGATACCTGCCTTGTGAGAAACAGGGCAAGTAAGCTGCAGAAGCCATAAACCCCAGAGCAACGGGGAACAGTTGTCTTTAATCTAGATGCATTTAACATCGGCCTCTGTCGGCTCCTCTCATAAAAGATCTGCTTTAATTTTTGTTCCCCTTGCATTTGTCTCAGGGTTATGTAACCTCACAGGAGGCCACACAAGTCTCCTAAAAAAGAAATTTAAGCTTTTAAAAAAATAAAAGGAACCATGCATAACAAAGACAAACACAAAACTGAAACTTGTATTCTCTCTCTGACAAGAAACCTTTATCCTAGCTGTTAACCTCAAAAATTATCATCGTAAGGGGAAGAGAAATTAAAATACAAAGGATGGAAAGCCATGGCTTGCCCTGGGGTCATATGATATACTATATTCTCAACATGCTGTCAAGAATAAAAATATGATGGACATCTTACCATCTTCCGGCTCAAGACAAAGATTATATACAGCCACAGGTCTCTTGATTCTCTGGCCTGGTCTCTTCGATTGCCTTGGTGGAGCATGTGGGGGTGATGCTGACAAGGAGACTGGCTCAGGGAATGTGGCATCAGGCAGTGTCCTAAAAATCTGCCATCAAAGCATAAGAACATTAATTGTTTCCCCTGAACAGAAAACCTATGTATTCCAACAATAAAGCAACATCAAACAAAATTTGATTTGGAGTTCATTCAAAATAGGCTGGAGCCAAAAATCCATTCCTTCAAATTTGGGGTATTGGTCATGAATCTTTTATTTTTAACAGAAAATTTCAAAATACAGTATCATTAAAATTAATTAAATTAAAATTAAATTTCTTATTAAAATTAAAGCAACATCAAATCATTATATTTCAAAATAAATTCATTCCCAAACTAAACAAGTATAATTATCTTTACCACATGTAGACAATACCACAGCTCTTCATCCACAAAAGAAGTAGCCAGGATAAAATATTAAAAACAAATATCCTGTTAAATTTCACACAGGGTTATATTTATGCCAAAAAGCTGGTCTCAATTTTTTTACACAAACAAAAACTTATGACTGCAAATATTTTCTACATGTTTAAAAATAGCTTGTGCTTATGAAATTACCTTACAGATTCCCACATACATTCTTCATAAAAATGTTTTGTAAATTTTATCAATTTACTTAATACCCTCCAACTTCTCTTAATAATCTCCCAGAATGTTAGCGCCTTGATTATCTACAGTGTCATTCATATATTAGCAATAATAACATTAAAATGTGCTGATTCTTTGCTTAGCAATTTTTTTTTTCTTTTTGGAAAAGCAATGTGTGCCATAAAGGGAAGTATATCATCCAGAGGTGATTTATAATAGACCATCCATGGCTGCCAAGACCTAAGTTCAGAGGCTTCCTGTCCTTTAGAACACTGGAGGCCCCTCAGCCTTCAATGAAGTCATAAAATAAAATATTTAGAGACATCAACCTAAAAGACAGAGCATCTCCAAAGAGCTGATGTTCCTTAGGTAGAAGCAAGAAATAGGAAAAAGGGCGACTTGCCTTAAACAAACAAACAAAATAACCCATAAACATAAAACAATTAAAGGCACTGCGTGAAAGCTCCATTGTTTCAAGAAAATTATTGTATTTGTGCATTTGAATTAAAACAGGCATGGGACCTGCAGGTGAGGGTATCGTATGAGTGTATCATGTTTAACAGAGACAACTGTATCAGAGTTATAATCACAGATTCTAAAAGTTCTCACCTAAAAACTATTATATGCCAATAAAAATAAACATTTCACCAGAGCATTTGCTTTATAGTACCATACTGCCCCCTCATGTGTAAACAGAATTTTTAAAATGATTTAAATTACTGCGGACAAATATTTGCTAGCGAAAACTTAATTTAGTGCTCCAACTGGTAACCTGCTAACACCATATTTCCACAGAATCTGTGTTCCAACAGGGTATTCTGGCAAATAGCAAACTACTTATCTGCCTTAAATATATCCGCTGTCGTCAAAATCACTGTCCACAGCTGGATTTGTTGCCGTCTGTCACTGATCACATGAAAGGTTGCGGGGTGGTGAGAACAGGACAGGAGTCAGGTTGAGAAGAGGATGACAATGATGGAGAGAAGAGCAGATGGGAAAACTCTTAATTCCGTTAAAACGAAACAGCACCTACGTGTGACCAAGATTTGGAAATGCTCCTCAACTTATGTTTGATCTGTACAAACGTGGCAAATGCCTCTGGAATATTACTGGAATAGGAAACCAAAAATACACAGAGCCAATGCACCCAAAGCCGCATAAGCAGGGGAAAGTTAAACCCCAAGAAGCGGCACCGGTGGGTGGCACAGCGGATCGCCTTCCGAGCAGACCTTCCTGGAAGATCACGTTGACTCTAATCGTTCAGTGCTGACAACGGCTCCTTCTCCTCTACGGTCACCACCGCCACCTCAGGGTGACAGGGTGGGCAAGCGAGTGAGGAGTGAGGCGCAGGGGTGGTCCCAACTTCCAGGAAGATTACCGAGCAAAACAGGATCCGTGGGACTCCACTACCCCAGGGCTAGGCCTCCAGAGTCTCCAGAAGACTTACAAATCCTGCTGCACACCACGACATGGATGAACCCTGAGAGCACTATGCTAAGTGAAATAAGTCAGAGAAAGACAAACCTTTATGATCTCAAATGGACATGTGAGATCAGACTCATAAAAGCAAACTCATAAAACAGAACAGATTGGTGGTGGTCAGAGGCAGGGGGAGGAGGGAAAGGGGAAATGGGCAAAGGTGGTCTAAAAGTACAAATTTCTTCCAGTTCTAAGATAAATAAGTTACAGCATGGTGACTATAGTTCACAGTACTGTATTTTATGTTTAAAAGTTGCCAAGGGAATAGATCTTAGAAGTTCTCATCACAAGAAAAAAAATATGAGGTGATAACTTTGAACTAAACTCATTGTGGTGATCATTTTTGTATATATAGATATGTCTATGTACACACATTTATCAAATAATTGTGTTGTGCACCTAAAACTAATATAATGTTTCATGTTAAAACTGGAGTAAAAAACGATATCTAGGGTTGGGTACTGGGTTTTGAAGGTGATGTTTTTCTTTGGTTTGCATTTTGAAACTCTCCAGGTGATTCTTTTGTGTAGCCAGGGCTGAAAAACACTCACTTAGACAGTCATTCCACAGCATTCTATGCTTGTCTTAGACGGATCAAAATCCTAATCAAAACACCAGAAAAATTATTTCAGCGAAACAGGCACTGAATATGCAATCAATTACTCGGACCTTTCTTAAGTCCTAATTAGGTATAAAATATTTCAAAGATTCTAAAGACCAACCACTTCCTCAACAAACTCTATGTTGTGTCAGCATTTCCCAGAGCTAACCTTTCATCCAGATTAGGTGACACTGAAGCATGGACGCTAACTTGAGAAGGTACTAATTTGCTGAGGTCTTGAATATTCCTCAAATTCAGTACTAAGGTGGTTACTCTAAAGAGTTTGTGGAAAAAGTTCATCAAGCAATGGGCTGAAGAGAAGCACCTTTGCAAAATTCTCAAGTCACCGAGAATCACACGATAGTTTTTTATATTTATTTCTGCACTTCAACACTGAAATTTTAGTTTTAAAATACTTCCTATTTTATTGAATACATTTAAATTCTAATAACACCTACTAGGTAGTAGGTTTTCTCTGAAACACTTTAATGTTCTCAACGACCTTTGTGGTAACTACTGCTCCCACATTTTAAAATGAGAAAAACTCGACGATTCAATAATTAGCCCAGTCTGAAAATGGTAGAGTTGGTATCTGAACTCTCAACTCTGAATCCAAATTCCCTGATGCCAGTTTATAAAAGAAACAAAATTTAATTCTTAGGGAAAATCACCAACTACTGTTCCATTTCCATTTAGAAAGAGTAAAACTGGAGAATATCCATTCAGACTCACCGTCACTGTACTGTCTGCCTAGATGTTTCAAGCGTCTGTCTTTGGCTGCACCAGCCTCTGTTCTAAGCTTTTTCTTTCTACGTGTCAAAGCTATGCTCTCGTGGTTCTCTCTGAAACCCCAGAAGTGATTTAAAAGAATATTCTTTTTAAATTTAGAAGAGGAAACAATAAACTATTTGCTTTAAAACTGTGACCTGCTTTTTGGCAATCTCATTTTAGAAGTTAAAAGTTAGCTTCTCTTGTTCTATATAACTAAGAAGCATGTTGCCCTTAACTATAACACTGATTTTCCAATTCTAGAACCACTTCGTAGATGCAAATGCCTCCATCGCTCAGATCTCTTTCCAAAACCTTTGACTCCCTGAACTTCCTGAGCATCACATCTCACGTTACCTTTGTTCTAGACAGGATAAACCCTTCTTAAGCAATACTAAGAATCAAGAGATCAAGTCTACTCAAAACTTGTTTTTGTTTTTTTTTTTTTTTCAGTGTAGAAAATTTCTCCACTGCACCTTCATATTTACAACATAAGAAAAACTCAAACCAGACAATCCAATGACAAAAAACAAAACTCCACACGTAGGCGTGTCAGGTAAGGAGGCGCTTATGCAGGTCTCCTCAGAGTGCTAGCACAAACAGAAGTCTGGCACTACTGTTCAGAGTCACAGATGCCTCAGACTCAACAAAGTCGATGTTAATGCCCATGAGACTGAGCCACACACAGAAAACCCTCCCCAAGTCCTTCATGCTCTGCTGCCAGGGGCGACATATGGAGAATATGAGGCCAATTCTGCCAGAAATAAATACTTTGCAGGTAACAGAAAATAAGGATGGCTTCTGGAAATTGTGCTTTAGTACCCAACCCAAATCTGCAGCATTTCACTCAGCTGAATTAATAATATGGTTAAAAGTAATTATTTTTTAAATAGGTGTTTTACATAAGAGTTCGCTGATAAGACTACCACTATGCTTGTATTTTCCTATCATCTTGAGTAATAAGTTGCAACAACCGGGTACTGGCAATATGCCCTACATTATGCCAAGTGCTTGACCTACAAAGATTTGAACCCAGATTTCCTGATTCCACATCTGAGTCATCATGCTCGCATGCCTCCAATGTTACCTAGTCATGTTAAGTCCCATTCACATTATACACTCTTTGGAGATGCCATACTTCACATAGCTACATCTATGCATAAACAGGTAAAACCAGGAGACAGTTGGAAATCAATGCACGCTCCCCTTTAGTAAACCTTTAACATAGAAAGGAAGGATGAAAAATATTTCCAATCTTCTTTCTAAAACATGTAACTATAAAATGGCCAGATATTACTTTCGGCTTCAGAGTGTGGGACAAACACTCATCACCCTGGGGTGTGTGACTCTAAGCTGGCTCTACCACCGCCTGAACTTCCATCCACAACATAACTGCAGAGTCTAGCTCCTGTGTGAACAGTAGAGAACCCTGAAAACTTTCCAGCTGCCTGTCCTTGAATCAGCACTATCCCGTGACTAAATGTGAGCCTTTCATACAAAATTTAGCTAGAATCAATAGGGACTGACTGACAGTGAGATACTGGTTGGGTTCAGGCTTGATGCTGGAAGTATTCTAAGGCTTCATGTTTGTTCTAGTTAATGAACACTAAGAGTCT